GCTCTCTGCACTAAACTATACCTACATATCAGCCTGGCCTCAAGACTCCCTTTCTGTTTCCTCCCTTCCTCTGTGAGGCTGACTGAGGACATCTCTTCCAGGAAGGGAGCAGAGAGCAGTGGTTTGGTGCAAAGCTGCAGCACTTCCTGCTGAGGGAAGGCCAGGCCTGGGCCCAGGCAGATCTGAGGCCAAACCTTCCCACACAGCTCAGTACCACTCTCTCCTCTTCTCTCCCCAGCGCTCGGTGCGCTCAGACACTGTGGCCCATGACAGCCAAAAGGCTGAACAGTCATTCTTACCACCCCCAGTGTCCAGACAAGAGGAGCTTCACTTGCCCAGGGCCACACTATGGTCAGCAGGCAGTGCATCTGAACCCAAGTAGGTCCCTCCTCTGAGACAGTGGTTCATAGCTACCCTGCCACGCACCTTTGCTGGAATCCTGCTGTCCTCACCTGGAGGTCCCCAGAGTTCAGAGTTCCCATCCTTAGCACTTCAAGGACAAACATTTTTCTCAGTATCAGAGGCTATGTCCCCTCCCACCCTAGCTCAGCCATAACCCCCATTTGATTTCAACATCACATTCACACATATGCCAAGTAAATCCTAGCCTCTGTGCCCTCCTTTCTGGAAGTTCCCATGCCTGGGAGACCTTGTTCCACTGAGGGATGAGGATGGAGGAGACAGGCAGAAGCAGTATGTGGGAAAAGTCTTCCCTGGAGGACTTCCTCTCCTCTGCACTCAGTCACTCAGTCATTCAACAAACAATTGTTGAATACCTACCTCATACTAGATACATTGGGGTTGGTATGTATACAGAAGAACAGATAGTCACCCAACCCTCAAGAAGCTTTCAGCTAGCAGGCCTAACAAACCATATCCAGCCATGCAGCACCAGGAAACTAAGGTAAGGGTGACCAAAATGACATGTTTGAGGGGAGGCCGAGGCAGGCAAAGCCCCAAGGAGGAAGTCCACACTAGGCTGGCAGAAGGGGAAAGGGGGTATCCTGTGCTCACCCTGAGGAAGATGGCAGGGCTGCCTGTTGCAGGGTTCCACCTCAGCGGGCTTCGACAGCTGCAGGCCTCCACAGTGGCCAGGTGGCCGAATGGCACAGATGACCTGTCGCCTCCGAGTGCCCAAGCCACAGCTTTTAGAGCACTGGGGTCCCAGGATGGGAGTATGAAGAAAGAGACCCTGAGGCTGGGGCACCATGAGGAAGTGGGGGTGGGGGGACAGTGCTCTGCAACAGCCCAGGTCAGATTCAAGGGCAGGTGTGTGCACAGCACCTGACCAAGGCTTTGGGGAAGCAAGGCTGGACAGCAGGCATGGGGGAGGGCAAGGACTTACTAGACCCCAGGCACCGACTCGCCAGGCCTGGTCATGGAGGAGTGGACAAGCCTCACGCACACAAGGCTCCGTGAGGGCCGGCTGGTCCTTCAAGGAGCATGCAGTGGCATGGAGCAGAGGGTCCTCATCATCCTGGCAAGTGACCCTCCTCTTCCTGACACCGGTACCACAGGTGACGGAACACTGCAAGGACAGGATATGAGCAGCTCACCCCAGTCCCAAGGAGCCATAGCAGGTAGGAGAGCCTATCAGGGAAAGCAGACAGCACTCTCCTGCCCTGATCTCACTCCTGGGCCCAGAGAAGCTGAGGCAGTGTTGAGATCACGCAGCATGATGCTCGGCTGAAGAGTATTTTTCATACCCTTTTATTTGCAATTTGAGTATACATGGATGCTGGAAACAATGCCTTCCTCACCCCCAAATACCATGTCTAGCTATGCCATCAAACCAAGGCAAAGCCTTCCTCCTATCCAGACTTGGGATTGTAGAGAAGGTGGGAGAGCTGTGGACCAGGGGTCTGGAACTTGCATCTAGTCCCAGCCATGTCACAGCTTCTGAGATGGCTCCCTAGGTCCCATAACCTCTGAAAACCTCAGCTTCAATAGCAAAGATAAACCTCCCAGCCCTGCCCTGCAGTTATGCAGGCCCAAGACACAGCTCCTGATCCCAGCAAGGCCTCACCTCTCCCCAGGGCTCTGTTATCCAGGCTGCACAACGCTGCAGGTTACAAGCCTGTGTGGTAAGAGGCTTCCCAGGTAGACCAGCACACTGGGCCTCCTCAGCAGCCTCCTGGCCACCAGTCCCATCTGAAGAGATGCAGTAGACAGAGCGAGACTGGGATCCGCCCCCACAGGAGGCTGAGCAAGGCGTCCATGGTCCTACCTTCCAGCTGATGAAAAGTGGAAACAGTTAAGAGTGACCTGGGAGCCACAGTTCCCCAGCACGGAATGGACCTAGGACCCATCCCAACCCTCCCATCTCTGGGCCTGAGAAGATGTTGCCAAAGAGGTCTGTAGAGAGACCACTACACAGGCCCTCCTAGGCATCTCCACTGCTCACTGGTGCCCAAGGGGTCCTTAAAACTGAAAGGATGACTGCTTTCCCTCAATGTTCCTACCTTTATCCCAACTCCCCCTTTTTCCTTCTTACAGGTCCTGTCGCCCCTGCCAGACCCCATCTTTGGATTCCCACCTTAGGTGGGGACATCTCTAGAGGGGCTGTGCTCCTTCTGTGAAGAGAGGCCCTGCCTGGCAGGGGATGCAAGGACCAAAGGAAGGGGTGGCCTGAGAACACCATGCAAAGCCAAGCCCACCACAATCTCACGAGGCCAAGAGCGGGGGAGTCCCAACACCAGCCCTGCAGAAAGCCCCTAGGCCAAGGATTACCTGTTCCCACACACAGGCTGGGCCCTAGCATGGCACCACACTCCGGGCCGGTGCAGGAAAGAGATCCTTTGTGCACGAACAAAGGCATTGCCAATGCCGATAGGCCCTTTTGCCAGATTTCTGCCTCACCCCTAAGCATCTACCCAGTCCCCTGTTGGCTTAGATAGGAGCATCTGGTGCTGTCCCCAATCCTCTTGCCACAAGCCTAGGCATTCTGAGTACTATAAAGGTAGCCAAGGATGGAGAGAACAGCCCCATCCTTGGGGCTCATGCCCTGGGTCTCATGCTCAGGTCCCTTCACAGTCTCCCTCAGTGATAGCTGCAACCTGTTACAGAGATCTCCGGGCCCCCCAACCTATCTGCTCTATGCCTAAAGCAGCTTAGGGGCTCCCCTTCCTTCCCATCCAAGTTCTTGGGCTCTACCATAGGTGGGGAGGGCTGTCAAGTCCTCACCGCTTGGTCTTTGGGCAGGGGTGGGTGTTGCAGGGACGACGGTGGGCTGGCCGAGGTTGACGCTGGCACATGTGGTCTGGGTAGGCCTCATTGTCAATGGTACAGACTACTAGACGGGACTGGTGACCTGCCAGGAGCAGAGACACAGAATAGTGGGTGGGCCAGTACTCTTCAAACAAAAGCAGGGCAAGACACACTCTGGATTGGACGACAACTCACCCTGATTAAGCCTCAGGTGACCCTCTGTGGTAGGTACCACCATCACCCCCAACTTACAGAGGAGGAAACTGAGCCTCAGAGAAACTTAGGTGTGGTCACTAGCTCCAGGCCTGGCCTGTACCCCCAAAGGGGAATCTCCACTACACCTTCTCAGCCTAAGGACTTAGGCTGCAGTCCTTCATGAGGGCTCCTACTTTTCCCTCACAGGGAGGTGTCCTCCCCATAGTGCTGCCTCAAGACCAGGACTTGCCTGCCTGAGTCACCCTGCCCCTAGTCTGATTTGTCCTGCAGCTCTGGGCACCCACCTCCACCACACTCCATGCTGCAGTCACTCCATGAGCCATGGCTCCAGCTGAAGCCTCGGCTGGGATCCTTCACTGGCAGGTAGTACTCATAGTGCACACCGGGGTTGGGCTCCTGGCTGATGAGCTGTACAGAATTCTCCCTGAGGTCCAACCTGGCCCTCAGTGTCCCAGCAGCCCACCCATGAAGGGGGTTGGGGGTCCACAGCCATCCCATCCAGGGCCATCCTCTACAGCCCACTCACCTCAATGACCAGAGGCTCCGAGGTGGGGCCACGAGCTAGGAGCCGCTCAGGGGCCAGGTCCCCCTCAGCACCACGCTGGTACTGTAAGACTGTGCTGGCCACGGGCAGGGCCTGGGCTGCCTCGATGGTCCAGTGCCCATTGAGGTAGTACTCACCGCTGATGCTCTTCACCGCTGTGGAGACCCAGAATCATCAGGGGACCTGGGACAGTGAGGCACTTCCTGGAGTTCCAGGTAGTCCAGCCCTAAGCCACCTCTCACCCAGGAAATTCCTGCTGGCAGCAGCCTCCTCAATCCAAATGCTGGTAGCCCCCGCAGGAATGATGAAGATATGGTTGTAGCCTGATGAGGACAATGATTTGGGTTGGCGGGGCATGCTCCATTGCTACTGGCTGGACTGCTTGGGGGCAGTACTCCTGGCAGAGGAACTAGCTTTACAAAGGCCAGAGGAGTGGGAAGGCTCTGAGCACCAGGGCAGCTTGGGAGGGGAAGGGATGAGGATAGGGACAAGAGGAGAGGAGATGAGGGTGGGCATCCCCTGTCAGCACTGTGAGATTAGATTACACAAGTGAGTAAGTGTCCCCCACCAAGGTTGGCACACAAGGAAGGGAGGGGCTCTATGAAGGGTACAGCCTCTACCCTGCAACCATGTGACCCCAGCCAGTAGACCCACTGCATGAGCATCATTCAACCTCAAGCCATGGCCAGAGCAGAAGACAAGTAAGCCAAGACAAGCAAGAGACCCTTGTCTGAATGGTCTGAAGACCCTTTCAGGGACCCCACCTCTGCTGAGGTCATTGGCATCAAAGGTGCCTGTGACAGGGTAGCATGTCGAGCCATCACCCCCACACTGAAGACATTTGTCCTCCTGCTTGGGGGAATCTAGTTTGTGGTCACAGCCAACAACCTGTGGGGACAGATAAGAATGGGGAGGACGAGTGAGAGAGAAGAGACATGGACACAGCTCCAAATGCTCCAGGCAGGATAGTGGGGTCAGGGGTGGCTGACATCTATTCATCTTTCTGCTCAGACCATCATGGCTCCTACTAACCATGTCCCACCTCTCTTTGGAGGTCATGTCTCCCCCATGGTTTGGATGAAGCTCCCTAAATGTGGGTTTGGACAAGCCAGCGAGTTGTTTCCCCCCTTTCCTCATAGAGTGGTTCAGTTGAACATCAGGCTGATAGGTCTGAGACCTGGGACTCAGGCTGCTGGGACTCCTGGGAGCTGACAGGCTGCTGTGGCAGAGGCCTGAAAGTGCCATTTTGTCACACCTCCTGGGAAGAACTGCATGAGCCTAAAGCTGGCCCAGAGAAATGGGTCAATAAGCAAGCATCTCCCAGCCACTCACATCCACTTGGGTTTGGTTGAGGCCAGTTTTGGCTACCTAGAAAGTCTTTTTTTAAATGAGGTTTATGTTCTCAAAGGACAAAGTTAAAGTGGTCAGGGGGGCATCTGTGATGGCTACATAGAGCATTCTAGGCGTCTGGTTTGGTGCCCTGGTGACTTAAGAAGTCAAGTCAGACACTTGGCCCTGTCATTGCTATGAGACATGGCCATAATAACCCCCAGCCAGCATGGAGGAAGGACAGGGGCATAACTTACCCGGCAGCTGCCATCCACACAGACATCCTGCTTGCCAGGCTCACAGGGTGTCCCGTCCACCACAGCCTCCCTGTGCTTATAGTAGAAGTTCTCTCCCTTGGGAATGCAGTTCAGCTCACACTTGTTTGGGGCTGGGTAGGCAAAGGGAGAAAGCTGAGATCCTGACACAAGACCCTGTCTAGTGACAGAGACGCATGGGCAGTAGACAGAAGTGCACTCATGTCTGGGAGAGAAGGCTCCTCAGCAACACCCAAACAGCATAGAATCCCACCCCATCCCAGGGAGAAGGGATAGTCTCCATGAATCTGTTGCATCTCAGGAGACCAAGTCAAAGAGCAATCCCAGAGCTCTACTCATTTTGTTTTGCTTTGACACAGGGTTTGTATCCCAGGCTGGCCTCAAACTCTCTCAACTGAGGATGATCTTCAACAGTCCCAAATTGCTAACAGGGTCATAATCATGTCCTCCACAAGGCTTCCAACCTCCCATCTGTTTTTTTTCAATATTAAAATTGTTTAACATTTATTTCATTATGTATTTATATGTGTATGTGTATATGCACATGCATGTGGTGCCCAAAGAGGCCAGAAGAGGGTATGAGAAGCCTGGAACTGGAGTCACAAGTGGTTGTGAGCCACCTGCCATGGGTGCTGGAAATTAAACATGGGTCCTTGGGAAAAGCAGCAAGCACTCTTAACCACTGAGCTACCTCTCTAGCCCCCTAAATCATCATCATCATCATCATCATCATCATCATCATCATTTTCTCCTTCTTCTTCTTCTTCTTCTTCTTCTTCTTCTTCTTCTTCTTCTTCTTCTTTAATTAATTTATTTTTATGGTTCTTTTGGCTTCTTCTTCTTCTTCTTCTTCTTCTTCTTCTTCTTCTTCATTGTATGTGTGCAGGTATATGTGGAGGTGAGAGGACAACTTTCAGGAGCGAGTTCTCTTGCCACTATGGGTTCTGGGACGCTAACCCAGGCCTTTTTGCTTGCTCGGCAAACACTTTTACCCCACGAGTCACCTCACTAGCCACCCACTACTCTCTTTAGCCTTTCTTCTATATTCCAGTTTTTCTTTTATTTAATATTTTATTTATTATTTTTATTTTTTGTATATGAGTGTATTGCCTACATGTATATAAGTACATCATGTTATGCAGTACACCCACAGAAGTCAGAAGAAGGCATCAGATCCCCTGGAACTAGAGTTACTAAAGGTTGTTAGCTTCCATGTGGGTGCTAGGAATTGAACCTGGGTCCTCTGTAAGAGTAGCCAGTGCTCTTAACCACTGAGCCATCTCTCCAGCCCCAATTCCAATTTTTCTATCACATGGAAGAATTTTTAACATACATCTACTAGGAATCTGGGACTACTGTATGCTAAAGGGCCCCAGGGGAACTACCTTTCTGGGCTCAGTAACATCAGGGCACACAGAAGGATCAGCATTCAGCATTAGAAATCAGAGTGTGGGGACAGAGATGACTCAGCTGTCTCACAGAGGACCAAGGCTCAGTTCCCAGCACCCACACTGGGCAGCTCACAACTGCCTGTAACTCCAGGGGATCTGATGCCCTCCTCTTGCCTCCGAGGGCATCTGCAAGCCAGTAATACACATACAAACACTCAGGCACACACACATAAATAAATCCCAGAGTGCAGAGGGGGTGTAGTTTCAGGGGCCATTTGTAGTGCACAGTGAAAACTAATACCTCAGAATTATCCTGAGGCTTGATTGTGATTTTTTTTTTTTTTCTCTGAGACAGCATCTCACTAAAAATCCCAGGCTGGTCTGGAACTCCTGGAAATCACTATGCAGCCCAGGCTAGCTATGAACTCCAGACACAAGTGGCAGGGATGCACCACCACTACCAGTTTTGTTTTGTTTTTTAATTTTTGGTTGTGCTAGGGCCTTGCTAGGCAAACACTGTCATGGAGCTGCATCTCCAGCTCTAAGGCATCTTCTGACCATTCTAAAATGCTTTAATTACATTGGTGTTCTTTTTCCAAACCACGCCTGCGTCTGCCAGACCACATGTAGGTCTGGGTAGATGGGTCTGGGTAGATGGCTGGAGCAAGCTCTTTCTAGCCTCTGGTGCCATTGGCCCAATAGAGCACCAAGCCTACCTACTGTCCCCCACTCCCACTCCCACTCCCCAGCTCTGTGCAACTCAGGGTGAGCAAAGCCCAGACACACTATAGTTCTGCTTTTGAAAATGTGTCCCCAGGAGAAAAGGCCGGAGGGACCTCAAAATCTCCCCTGCTACTGGGTTGCAAAGGGCACGTGCTGGGGACGCTGGTGATTTTCTAAGTGACACTGCATCTACAAGCGGACAATATGAACTGAGTCAGTGTGTGCAGGAACCCCCAGAGGCCAGAGGCCCTGGCTCTTACCTCCGTAGTAGGGCAGCCACCGGTAGCGCCGGCCCTGGAACTCAGCGCTGTCGAATACCGAGCACTGCTCCGCCCGGAAGTCCCGCGCGCCATCGGGGCAGCTCTGCGCGGCGGTGCAGGAACGTGGGTCCCACCGTGGGCACCAGGGGAGGTCGGGGTCCTGCCCATCCACCCTCCATGCCAGGAGCCCCGGGGTCCTCCGTTCCCCCGACCCCAGGAGGGGCGTCCCGCCCTAGGGATGCTGTAGTGCCTGCTGAGGATGCCCCGCTCAGGGAGGGGCCGCGGTCGCTGGGGGCCAGGCGGGTGCTTTACCTCGGTGCGGCAGGTGCGGTGGCTCCGCGCAGGACCCACGCAGCTGGCGCCTCCGTCTCTCCTGTGGGGCGAAAGCACTGGGAAGACCCCAACGTCCCCTCCCCCTCCTGGGCTCTCCTGCAGGCGCCTCGGCTTCCGCGGGGCTCCCCAGTGGGCAAGGCTGGGCCAGAAGGGCGGCAAAGGTGAACGGGAGGCGCTCAGACGTGAATCTCTTTGTGTGGGTGTAACCGGACCCGTATTGGTACTCCTCAGAGATGACTATCCTACCCTTTGTCTAACGCCAGGGCCACTCTGCCCTTGGAACTTGATATCTTACATCCCTACCTACCCGGTCAGTCTGCAACTGAGGAGTAAATTCTCCAGCGAGTTTTTGCCTTTTCTTTTTGTTGTTGCTCTTTGGGTTTTGGAGACAGGGCCTCACTTTGTAGCCCTGGCTTGTTTTTGTTTTAGAGACGAGGTTTCATGTAGTCCAGGTTGGCGCTGTAACTGGGGATGACCTTGCACTTCTGATCCTCCTGCCTCATCTTCCTAGTGCTGAGATTAGAGACCTGTGCTACACAGCCGGTTTATCCAATGCTGGGGATCCAACCCCTGGCTTCCTGCATGCTAGACCAGTACCCCACCAACCGCGGGAATAACTAACTGATACCTGTTACTCTTCTCACAGGTTCTCAGGAAGGTGAGTTCACAACCCCACCCGCCTTGTTACCGTTACTTAGTACCCAGCCCCTCTCTACAGAGAGCATAGTGCAGTGCACATAGAAACTTCTTTTCTTTTGTTTTTTGTCTTTTGAGACAAGGTCTCACAATGTAGCTCTAGTTACCCTGGAACTCACTATGTAGACCAGGCTGGCCTCGAACTCAGAGATCCACCTGCCTCTGCCTCCCAGTGCTGGGACTAAAGGCGTGGGTTACCACATCCTCACACAGAAAATTCCTAATCACCGGCAGGGAAGGAGTCGAGGATCTATATTTGACAAAGCATTTGAGGGCAAGAAACCACAGGAACCGGGACTGCCGGCCCAGAGTGACTCATTAACTCTGCAAATGAAGGCCAGGGCCACGTGCCAGTCGCTGCAACAGGCGCCACAGGCTCCGAGCGAGCGGAGGAAGCAGACATGGCTCAGTTTCTCCCGATGAGGGCTGAGTGTGGGAATCCGAGGTGAGTACATGGGAAATTATTTGTTTTCCTTTATGCACCAATACTGCAGAATGAATCTGTCTCCTGGTGGCCCAGACTCCAGGCTCCTGGCTCCCACCCTCTGCCCTCTTGCAAGCTGCTGCCCAGTTCTAGCCTCCCCTACCTCTGGGAGTAGCAGGGACGCTCCCTGAAGCTGATACCTCCTCCGCAGGTCCGGCTGCAGGGGCTCCACTCGCCCCAGGGGCCCCAGCTGTCACTCTGGCGCCTCATGGTGCGAGCCTAAGAAGAACTGTGAGTTAGCATCACCCCCTTGGACTTGAGGTAGGGGAGCCGTATTAGGACCCTCCTCCTAAAGATACTCCCCTCACAACAGTTCAAGGAGCCTGGGAGCTTTTAGAGCTGCCCCTTTACAACAGAGAAATGTGGCCAAGCACTCCAAAGTGTGGATTACAAAATTAGCTTGCTGCATCATAAGACGTTAAGAACCATCTTAGGTCGTGACTGGGCTCAGGCAGCTGGAAAAGTCTGCAGCCAGAGCAGTGCCCAGGCATTTGGGGTACACTTTGATGTGAAGGAACCCTAAAAAACAGAAGGGAAGGAACCTAGGACAAGAGTACTTTATTGTACAACTTAAGGCCTGTTATCAAACCTTGCTTGCTTCTACGGTTTACCAGGCATGGTGGGGCAGAGGCTGTAGCTCCTGACTGTACTCTGCTGTGTCCAGGACACAGCCTGGCCTGGTATCCCCTTGAATGGAACCTGTGGATCAGCAGAGTCATTCCATTCAAGAGGCACATACAAAGCAGTGGGGGAGATCATGGAAGGTCCTCAGGTGGGTGGAATCTATCTATGTCACCCCAAGGCAGAGTGGCACTTCAACAGGATCCGCAGGAGAAAAGCCACACCAATCCTGGTTGTAACCTTTTCTGTTCTGTATGTGAGCTCACTTCCAGAAGTTTCTGTAGTTCTGGTCTTTTAAACTAGGAACTTAATTTTGTCCTCTGTATGTGTGAAAGAGGTGGGGAGAACTGTAGTCTGCCTGTTAATTTGTGGCAGAGACTCCCAGGAATACCCCAATATCCATCTACCTTTCTACCTATATGAGAGACTCTTAAACCCATGACCCACTCTTCTTAGCTTCCTGTAGCTAACTGGCTCCATGATATGCAAATAAAAGTGTTGGGCAGGAGTCTCCAGTAGTCTGTGACAAGACGACATGCATTTGGGCATTTGTCCTCCTGTTCTATTGGCTGGAAAACAGGTGTGATGCTTGGAGTGGGAACAGCCTTTTTAAGACTATGAAGTAACTTGACAGTAAAGTCCTCCAGCTGTGAAGTGAAGCTGGAAGGATCCTAGAGCCTTGAGGACTTTGTGAGATGAAACAGCTCTGAACTTTCGACCCCTGGGTGTTTATATGAGAGAAAGATCTAGACTGTCCAGTTAAGACTGTTTAAAACTACACAATGGAAATATCATAATGAATGTGACAGCTTGCAGCTCCCATCAAATGTCCACATGGTACACAAACATTCTCATTTAATCCTCTCAACAGATGAATCCATTCCATCGCTTAGGGAAAGCGATGAAGAGAAAAAGCCACAAGTAGGGAATGGGCAGGTCACCACACACGCCAAGCCTCTGTGCTTATCCTAGGGCTGTGTCCCCACCTGCCTAGGGAAGCCCAGGGCCGAATGAGACACCAGGTTCTAAGGAGCTAGACAAGGGTAGGCTTTACCTTACAGTCTGAAGAGACAGATGAAATGTTGTAAACATGTCTCATTTGTTGGAAAGGGGGCTTATTTTAAGATGTCACCATATAAGAATCTTCAAGAAAATATCTCTTCCATTCTTTAGAGAGAGAGGGGTCAACTGTAGAAAAACAAGTTCTTCCCCCACCCCCTAAGACTAGCCAGTCTCAAGGGAAGAGGAAGGTTTGCTGATGTCTGAAGCCAAGCATCTAGTTACTCTTGTTTTTTTAATAGACCACAACTCTGAGGCAGCGTAAACCACACTGAACTTGCTGAACCACACACAAAACCAAGCCCAGGCCAGCCAGACCAGAGGTCTTGCCTCCCATTGTAAATCATCCACTTCAATTCTAGCTAGACCAGAACCTCCAAGCTTTCCGAATCACTGAACCAAAATGCTCAGGTATTCTGACAATGAAACATAAACTGGTTTTACTTGGATCAAGTTTATGGGGGTTTTTTTTTTGTTTTTTTTTTTTTTTTTTTTTTTTTTTTTGCAGCAGCCAAATGCTCACATCAAAGGCAAGTGTGGGCAGCTTGAAACCATTGCTGATCGCACACCTGGACTACACAGATGGGAGTAGACACCACTTGTAGAACAGGCTGGCCTTGAACTCAGAGATCTGCCTGCCTCTGCCTCCCAAGTGCTGGGACTACAGGCGTGTGCCACCACGCCCGGCAAGTTTCTGTTTTAAAGAGGGAGCTATTTATGTTGGGGTAGACATGGGGGTAACTTTCCAGGCTGAGTTTCTGATCCACATGCCTCCCAAGCCTTGCTTGGCATATGGCAAGTGCTAGAAGGAGGCTGTGGGGGCGGGGGGGGGTGTGTGCTGCGGCCCTCACACTGCTGGTATGAGCCTGGCTGTTGCTGGTCCTGTCCAGGCTCTGTTTGGTTTGGCTGTTTAGCACGGCAGCCCCTGCAAATCTGGCCACAGTGAGGGATGCACTGGCCATCAGGTCAGCCTCTAGAGACCAAGCCCATCAGGTACCTTACTGACATCCCTTGTTTCCTTGTGCCCAGAAACAGAGGGCTCCTGTAGACCCATTTGGGAACCCTAGTCTGTGTGACCCTGAGCCCTGCTCCCTGCACCTTTCCACACGCGTTCAGTCACGAGCAGTGTGAGCACATTTTGTTCTCCATAATTACCTAAACCCCAAGCTTTGCTGTGGTATGAAGCCAGGAGCTGGTACAGCCCAACCCCACCCTGGGCCTGTCCCCACCTGTCTCCTGCTGCTCTCAGCACCCCACCCTTTCTCCTCCAGCTCAGGCTTCCAGCTCAGGAACCCCCTTTGCTGCCTGTTTCTAGGGGAGTCAGCTGCCTTCTATACATGAGTGTGGGAGGGAGAGAGGGCAGGTGAGAATGGAGGCTCCTACTGTTACTCATCCATCCACTCATTCTATGATGTCCACCAGTCAGCCCTGACAGGGAGGGACTCTGAGGAGATCAGGACCCATGGTAGAGCCTGCTGCTAGCTAGAATCAGAAGTATGGGCAGCTGAGCAGTGAGCCAGGAGCACACCCCTCCACAGAGAAAGCAGACAGAGACTCAATCTGGGACTCACATGCTGAGGGGAGGAGGAGCAGGAGGAGGCAGAAGGCCACTGGGGTCTTCCCTACAAGGAAGAAGGGCCCTCACAGGACTCAGTGTGCACTGTAACCATTGATTCATCTGTGTGACAATGTTGGTGTGTGATGGGCATTAAAACATCCAAATTCAGGGCTGGGGAGATGGCTCAGAAGTTAAGAGTGCTGGCTGCTCTTGCAGAGGACCTGTGTTTGATACCCAGTACCTACATGGCAACTGACAACTCCAGTTCCAGGGGAATCTGATGCCCTCTTCTGACCTCTGCCAACATTGCATGACACAGGTACACTTATATACATGCAGGCAATACACTCATACACATAAAATAATAAAAGAAAAATAGAAATTCAAAAATAAAAATGATAAATAAAAAAAATTGTTTTGTCTTTTTGAGACAGGGTCTCCCTGCAGCCCCAGCTGGCCTGGAACTCTCTATGTAGACTAGGCTGGCCTTGAATTCACAGAGATCTGCCTGCCTCTACCTCCCGAGAGCTGGGATTAAGGCGTGTGCCACCACACCTGGCATAAAATATATTTTTTTAAAAAATCCAAATTCCAGGAATATAAGACTTAGAGATTGGGCTAGAGTCACAAAGCTGTTATGGGGTGGCTCTGGAATTTCATCCTGAGGTCCTGATGCCGTCCTGGAAGCCCCTCCAGCTGGGCTTGGTCTGCATGTCGCTGAGGTACCAGCATGTGCTGAAGGACCTTACAGGGCAGTGTGTAGGGAGCAAGGGCTATAGGCTAGCACAGGTGACGTGTGGAAAGGACATGAGGAAGGAGGGTCTGGAGCCCACCCACTACCCTGACTGAGGCTTGTGTCAAAGCATGAGTTCTTGGGAACTGCCCAGTACCTACCGCTGACACCCACCACTGCCTGCCTGTCTCATCTTCCACACGTTTCCAGGAGGCAGCATTGCCACCTCCCTCCCAAAGGCAGCAATCCTGACCCTTCCCTGTTCCCCCCCTTTTTCACCTGAGCCTATCTGGAGGGTAGGCAGGGCTGTGGTTTCCCCTGTGAGGAGCCTTTCGGGGGGGGGGGGTGGAATGAGGCCTGGCTGCCTCCAGCCCTCTGTTCTGTTCAGCACCCACTCCACCGACCCTCTCTTCTCTAAAGGGTCCTTACCTGTCCTTGGGAGGTAAGGGAGCCTTTTGCTTTGGGCCCATCATGAAACAGCTACCTGGTCACACTTCCTGTATCCACTCTAGGTTTGCCCTCATGGTAGCCACTAGCCACCAATAGTTTAAAGGACTTAAGCTCAAATCAACTTTCAGAGTTCCTCAGTTGCACTAACCATATTATCAAGTGTTCAATAGCAGCATGGACCTACTGGCTGCCCACTGGGCAGTACAGACAGCAGACATTCCCACCATTTCTTGAAGGTAGGTATCTAGTCGGCTGCAGCAGTCCCCTGTGGGTTTTTTTTGTTTTGTTTTGTTTTGTTTTTTTTTTTTTTTTTTTTTTTTTTGAGACAGGGTCTTCCTGTAGCCCCAGCTGTCCTGGGGGAACTCACTATGTAGACCAGGCTGGCCTTGAACTCACAGAGATCCACTTGCCTCTGCCTCCCTAACTAGTGCTGGGATTAAAGGCCTGCACCACCACACCCGGCCCTGCGGGTCTTGCCTCTTAAAAGGAGGGTGGTATTCTGCAGCATTGGCAGGAGCCCAGTGGACTATACCCACCACCTTCAGATAGGGGAGGTGGCTGGGAAGTTGCCACACCTGCAAACTGCACCCTGGTCAGACCTTTAGGGTGTCTCCAGGTGAAGGAGCTGGAGAGCCACGGCTGGCTTCACTTTTCGGGTCTTCCTGGCACCACCCATTTTCTGCGGTAGTTGCTATAGGGCCCCAACCTCCCCCTGAAGGAACTTCCCAGGGTGGGGCGGGGCTGCACTCACCCAGGACCCTGGAACGGCGGCCAGCAGCAGCGACAGGAGCAGGAACAGCTGCATCTCCCCCTGCAGGAGAAGCCGCGGGTTAGAGACAGAGGGACGTGGACAACGCTCCAGTCCCTGCCAAAGTGCAGTCTCCAGATGTGTGGGCGGGATGAACTACCGCGGTCCACCGGGGACCCAGACAAGCTCACGGACCGCTAGGAGCGCCACGGTGCTCCCGAGACAGCACGACCTGCGCGCACCCGCCGTGGGAGAGGAAGCTCCCCTCTACCACCCGCAGAAGTTCGGGAACAGCTTGTTTCTGGGTTCCAGAGGGAAAGCACAATTAAAAATACCGGTATGCTGTTGAAAAACAGTGAGCTTGGTACCAAAGAAACCAGACTCAAATTTATCAAGGGAACTTTTTGGAAAAGTCCTTTCATCACCTGTTTAAAAACAGCTACTAGGGGTTGGAGAAATGGTTCAATAGCTAGGAGCACAGATCGCTGTTCCAGAGGACCTGAGTTCAATTCCCAGCCTCACAACCACCTATAACCCAGCTCCAGGGGTTACACACACACACACACACACACACGGTTTAAAAAATTTTTAAAAACTAGGCCAGGCGTGGTGGCGCACGCCTTTAATCCCAGCATTCGGGAGGCAGAGGCAGGCAGATCTTTGTGAGTTCGAGGCCAGCCTGGTCTACATAGTGAGTTCCAGGACAGCTGGGGCTACAGGGGACCCTGTCTCAAAAAGACCAAAAAATAAATTTTAAAAACTAATAAAAATAATAAATTTGCGGTCAATTTTCGTAATAAAAAACAGATGTGTGCATGTGTGCTCGAGGTTGATGTTCCATCTGCCTCAGCCTCTCTCCACCTGTTTTTAAGCCACTGTCTCCCACTGAGACATCCCCTAGGCTGGATGGCCAATAAGGAGGCGTGATCCGCCTGTCTCCGCCCCCCACCCCGCCCATCCCCCAGCACCTGGGCTACAGAGGTCTGCAGCTGCTCCGCTCTAACCTGGGTTTGGGGGATCCCAAATCAGGTCTTTAAGCACTTTACTGACTGAGCTATCTTCCCAGCAACCCCCCTAATCAAAAATAGCTTCAAAAAATGGAAGTTATAGCTGGGCGTGGTGGCGCACGCCTGTAGTCCCAGCACTTGGGAGGCAGAAGCAGACGGATCTCTGTGAGTTCAAGGCCAGCCTGGTCTACATAGTGAGTTCCAGGACACCTGGAGCTACAAGGAGACCCTGTCTCAAAAAGACAAAAAAAAAAGGAAGCTATCTGAAGGCAAGTTCTTTTTGTTTGAGACACTGTCTCACTGTGTAGCCCCTGACTGGCCTAAAATTCGCCTCTGCCTCCAGAGTGCTGGGATTAAATGGGTGCGCCACCACGCCCAGCCTGCAGATGATTTTTAAAAATCAATTGCTGGGGCTGGAGAGATGCTCAGCAGTTAAGAGCACTGACTGCTCTTGCAGAGGAGTTGGATTCGATTCCCAGAACCCACATGGCGGCTTTGAACCGTTCTTAACTCCAGTTCTAGGAAAATCCGAAGCCTTCTTCTGACCTCTGGGGCATTGCACAACACAGGTGCACTCACATACATGCAGGCAATACACTCAGACACATAAAATAAAAATAATAAATAAAATATTTTTAAAAATCAATTGCTTAGTCAAGTGTGGTGGGTAGGTGTCTGCTCATCCCAGTTACTTGGAAGGCTGAGGCAAGAGTATCACTAGAACCAGGGAGTTCAAGGCCAGTCTTGGCCACAAAGAAACCCATTCTCCAATTCAACATCTTTTAAAATATTTCCTTTATTATTATTATTATTATTATTATTATTATTTTGTCTTTTGTTTTTGAAACAGGGTCTCCGTGTAGCCCCATCTGGCCTGGAACTTGCTATGTAGACCAGGCTGGCCTTGAACTCAGAGATCCTCCTGTCTCTACCTCCCTAGTGCTAGGATTAAAAGGTGTTTGCCACCACACCCCACTTCCTTTATTATTTTTATTTTATGTGTATGAGTGTACTGCCTGCATGTATGTAAGTGCAGCCATGTTGTTCAATGCCCTCAGAGTTTAGGAGAGGGCTACAGATCCCCTGGAACTGGGGTTGTTAACCACCATGTAGGTGCTGGGATTCAAACCCAGGTTCTCTGCAAGAGCAGTTACTGCTCTTAACCCTGAGTCATCTCTACTGGTCCTAATTTTAAAATGTTAATTGCAGATCTCAAGGTGCAGCTAGGGCTTACTTATCCTGAGATCCTATTTGGATCCCAGCACCAGTGAAGTGCACACACAGGGTTCCTGTCATATATATATGTATGATTTTTTTAATGTGTATGAGTGTTATGCCTGCATGTAGGTAAGTGTACCCGTGTTGTGCAATGCTGATGGAGGACAGATGAGGCTGTCAGATCCCCTGGAACTGGAGTAACGGACAGTTGTTAGCTGCCATGTGGGTGCTGGGATTCGAACCTGGGTCTTCTGCAAGAACAGTCACAGGGTTCCTGTTTTAAATCCAGGCCAGCCCTTGTCTGCACAGCAAAGCTTCTTTCACAGATTCCTTAAGCAGTGTGTGTGCAGGGTGTGCACATATGCATGATGGTGTTTTAAGCATGCCTGCACTGTGTTCCTGCCCAGTGCAGTACGGGTTCCATCTGCACACAAAACGGTGTGTATGCGTGTGTGCACATGTCTCTGTAGCAGAGACTGACAGAAACATTAAACAAGCACTGACGTGTATGTTCAATGTTAAAATCCATATTCTACCAACGTTCTAAATTCTTTTTAAAGTATAAAATGTCATTTTTATAGAGATAAAGTACAGCGTACAGAAACCATGTTCAGCAAAGTTTACCGTGGCAGGTGTATCGATCCTAAGTCCTGATTAATTTGGTACAGAAGCGATTATTTTAGTCATTTTTTCATGATCAAAGCAGAGATTCCCGAGGCTGGCAGGGGCAGCTCCTAGACGCATGAGCAAGGGAGCAGACGTAGGCTCCGCGGTAGCAGCACCCAGCTGGCGGGGTGTGAGACTCGCCTTGGACAGGTGAACTTGTCAAAGGAGAGACTGAAGGACCGACAGGAATTTCACCGCGCTGCTATCTCCAGCCTGCAATTCCAAAGTCCCGGAAGCCTGACCATATTAATTCTCTCTGCTCTGGGGGTGGCGAGAACCCGTGGGTGGGGAGGACAGGACCCGGTGTCCCCGCACGCAGGGCGGGCTCTCCACACCCCGCGTCCCCGCCCTGGTCGTCCGTGCGCCTCCGAGGGGCAGAAGGGCGATTCCCAGGGGGAAGCCGGGGCAGGGCTGGCCACCGCCCAGCTCTCGGCCGCAGGTCCCCAGGGGCTTGGCCTGGGCGGTGCACACGGGATGCTGCTCCGGGGAGGGCAGCGGGCAGACGGCGGGGACGCGGGGTCCAGTCCACCATCTCCCACCCTACCGGACGCCGCGTTGTGCGGAGCAGAGACCCAGCTCCCAGGCGGAGGAGAGCCGGAGATAGGGTCCTCCGCCCGCCCTTCACTTCCACCCCACCGCGATCGCCCGAGATGCCCCGGGCACGCCCTGCCAAAGGCTCCCGGCTGTCCTTCCTACCTGCCTCGCAGCGCAGGAACACAGCGCTGCCCGGTCGGTGCCCAGTCCTGGGTCAACCCTACCACGCTGAACGCCAGCGGAGGTTGGACTTTCTCTCCCCGCCCCATTTTCCCCCACCCTGTCTGCTGACACCCACCTCCACCTCCAATCCCTGAAGGAGGACAGTGCCCCCACCGAGAGGCCCCGTGGTGCCCAGCTTTGCCCAGTGCCTCCTCCTCTTGGGTCTCTGCCAAGGCTTTGCTTATCCTCCACTCTGTGGGCTCCGGGTCGTTCCTATCTGGGGTCTGTGTCAAGCACTTTTTCAGTCAAATTTCCCTTTGCCCAAGTCCTCCAGGTCTTTGCTCTAACCCTTCTCACCACACCTACCCCACACCTACACACCTCTGTGTCCACAGAGGTCTCCTAAATTCCATTCTTCAGCCTCAATCAAGTTACACACACACACACACACACACACAGAGCCAGCTTTCCCATCACCTTGAATGTACTTTCCCAACCTCCTCCAGTTTCTACTCATCCCTCAAAACCCTCCTTAAATGTCACATTTTTAAAAAAAATTATTATTTTTATTTTATGGGTGTGCATGTATTGCCTGCATGAGGGTAAGTGCACCTGTGTTGTGCAGTGCCCATGGAGAACAGAAGAGGCTGTTAGATTCCCCTGGAACTGGAGTTACAGACAGTTGTTAGCTGCCATGTGGGTGCTGGGATTCAAACCTGGGTCTTCTGCAAGAACAACCAATGTTCTTAACTGCTGAGCCATCTCTCCAACCCCAAATGTCACATTTTGACATTTGAGGACTTCACACCACCCAGGAAGAGTTGTTGCTTCCCTCTTCCCTCCATCCCTGACCCTAGCTGCTGTAGTTCTGTGGAGCATTACAGACTGGACTCTGTGCCCTAGAATCAGCTGTGAGTTGAGATGGGTAAGGGCTGCATTTCCAAGGTGGCCTGTGACCAGGGCCCTAGTTGGCATCAGGTAGGCACTCTTACCACATTTATTTGTGATGAGTTTAATTTCCTTTCCAGCTTTTTCTACTTTTTACCAACCAACACACTCCTTGCAAGACACTCCTTTACTGAAAACTAGAGTTCACTGATCCCTTGAAAAAACTGGCCCTGGGTCTGGGCCTAGGCCTGTGGGAGGTCACAGAGGCTGGCCCCTGGCACAACTGCCTCTCCCTTGGGCTTAGAGAGACAGAGGTGTGTAACAGGGAGCTCAGCCCTCTTCAAAGGCCCACTGGCGTTCTGACAGAATGCTGATTAAAGCTCACAGCTCCTCACACCCACCTGTGCAGGAGGAGGGCAGCGCAAGATCTCAGGGCCACAGGGAGTTCGGATTCCGAGGCAAAGATAACGTTTGGCAGCAAAGCAGTAGAATTACTCAGACTTCCTAGAAAAGGAAGATGGTTTCCTCAAAAATCCCCATCCCCCAACTGAGACCTTTCTGAACTTGGTCAAAGGTCCCTGTGAAATGGGAAGAAAATGCTTCTCCTGCTACTGAAGAATGGGGACAGCTGAGAGGGTGGGCCAGCCACCTTCCTTCTGGGCTCTCCTTTTCAGGCTTCTTTCCAGATGCCCAGGCTTGGATTCTTTTGAGTTTTGTTTTTGAGACAGAGTCTCACTGTGTAGCCCTAGTTGGCCTGGAACTCCTATATAGATCATGCTGGCCTCAAATTCACAAGAGATCTGCCTGCTTCTGTCTCTCAAGTGCTGGGGTTAGAGTGCCTACAGTCATGCCTATACCTAGCTCTTTTTTTTT